ATCCGTACACCGTTGGAGTTAGATTGGCATCATTTCCGTATTATTTTATTAGCTCTCCCATTCAACGGTTACAATATCCTTAAATTATATCACTTAAAGCAAAAGTTATCTAATAAAAATAATTATAAAATATTACAGCAACGAAATCTTTCAAGCTCAGCCGAAATAGTTTCAGATGATCTTAGTGTCTCCGTATACGAACATCCAGATAGTGTAATTTGTACAGAATTAGTTTGACTTCAAATTGAGTTAAAATAGTTTCAGTCGAAGATGATGTAAATTGAGACAAATCAGTTCTAGTCGAAGATTAAAACAAAATAGCTTTATTGAAGATGGTATAATTCGAATAGTATCAGTTGGAGTTCCAGACTGAAATAAAATAGTTTTCGTTGTTTTTTTTAGGTGATTTTTTTTTAGGCGGACGCGGTATCATTTCGTTTCCAGAACCTTTGAATTCTATATACAGTCTTATAACCGCCCATGCCCTTTAACCTATTGGAGAAATATGCTTGATTAAATAGCAGAATTTGATATAAAATATTAATTAAACTAAAATTTGAATTTACCGTTGATGGTTTACCATCTTCTAAAATATCCATACCAAGTATATCTTGTGCCATTTGTTTTAAACTGGGGGTTTGTTTGCCTTTGTAATGCGGCAATAACTGAGTGCCACGTTGCATTATATTCGGATGGTCGTCTATTCCTAATAACTTTATAGATAAATCATAATAAAGACATTAATTTAAATCTATGAAACATCAGACTAGATGAAAATTAAGAAATATCTACATTAAGAGTACCAAAAAGATCTTGACCAATAAGGATCTTATTTTCTATTTTGTTCTTCACTAATGCTTTCGCATCCGTAAAATCAAGTGCTGAATATTAAATAAATAAATATATATATATCGATAATTAAATAAATACTGTAGAGCGCTGCATAAAGTATCCCCGAAAATAATACCCTACCACATAAAGTACCCCCTTCTCTACCAATAAAATCACTGGGTTCGTGAATAGTACCCGGTACTATTCAATTTTAAAAATGTGTTTCTTGAATAAGATCCCGGGTACTGTATGCAGTGCTCTACGGTATATACAATATATACAGAGTTGGTCAAATCGCTGGTCAACCAAAAATTCACTGGTCAAACTGGTCTGGTCAAATTGGTCGAATGGTCTGGTCAAATTGGTCAAATGGCATAGTCTATTAATAAAATAAAAATAGTATACAAATTAATATATACTATATAAATATATATGCATATATATACTATATATATTTAAATACCCTTTGACCAATTTGACCAACACTAAACCCTTTGACCAACTGGTCAAATTGGTCAAACTGGTCTGGTCAAGCTTGACCATTGACCGGTCTGTGCCAACTCTGATAAATATATACATATACATATATATATATACAATAACACTAAATCACACCTATGGTGCTAACATTCAGGTGAGACTATCCAAAATTAGGAAATCGATTTCGGGATTGTTACACAAGTGTCAAAGAAATTTTTTATACATTTTACAATACTTTTTTAGGAACTTCAGGTAACCTACCACTTCTATGAAACGTGGATAAGTCTACTAAGACAACTTGAAGTTTTTGTCTTGCCCTACAACAATATTTGCTTAATCTCTTTTAATCTCGCTGCCTTCATGTTCAAAATGTCTGACAAAACTAAGTCTAAAAATAAGCAATATGAAGAATATGAAGCCACTGAATCAAAATTCTATTCATTAAAAAACAAAAAATAGAGACAGGTTAAAAGAAATGGTAACGTAAAAACATGGTACTATATTATGTCACAAGTGTTATATGGATTTGGTAGAAAATCTACTAAAAAGAATCAATAAAGGTACTAAATGAGTAAGAGTCTCAGTTGAAGAAGCAGGTAACGAAATAGAAGCTACAAGAAGCAAAGTAGAAGAAATTCAAGTCAAAGAGGTTGAATTCATAAAAGATTCTATAATTAGAGAGAAAATTAATCTGATAATATAATAGATGACAAATTAGAAAGTGTCAATGAAGAGAATAATATTACTGCTGAGAAAGAGTTAAACACTATTGATAAGAAAGAAATACATATAATTAACCTTGTTGAAGTCATCAAAGTGATAGCAAAAATCTTTTATGAGAAAGAGTATGTACAAAAAGAAAGGTCTATATATTCTTTTGATGAAATGTGAAAATTACTCTCACAAATTGACCCAAGCCTAAAGGATTTTTTTAGCCAGCTTTATTTGTTACCTCGGCCATTTAAACATTGTGAGAAAATAGTTAAACATATGAAAAATTAATAGTATTTTTATATTAGGCTATATAAATAAAATTATTTGTTTCTCATCACCGGCCAGGTCATATTAATGTTATAAAAAAATATTTTTTTTATTTTTTAAGTTATATAATATTAGCCAAATCTAAAAAATTTTAGCTTAAAAAAATTTAATTATAAGTGAAATTTAATATTTACGTTATACTTTAAATTAATACTTAAATAAATTACAATCGACATATTTTAAGTAACTATTTTTATACTAATATTATTATTATTTATTATTAGAATTATTGCTTAATTGTTTGATATACAATTATTTATAAGCATTATACGAATATACTATATGAAAACTAAAAACTTTGTTTTTACTTTTTTGAAGTAGTATTTGATAAAAACTTTCCCTTTCCCTAATTTAATTTTTATATCAGAATTAGCAGTACATAATTCACAGTACAGATATTGATCTTTAGATATAGATATTATATATTCTAATGAATCACAATTAAAATATACAGAAAGAAAATTTGCTGAATAATAAGCTTTTTCCATTTCATCATAGCATTCTAATACAGCATTTACAAATATTTTTGATAAAATATCTTGTAAATTTTGACTTTTATTATTTTGTTTAGTATGAATATCCATATCTTTTATCAAACTATCTTTTAATGATTCTTTTTCTTCTTGTTTATCATCTAATTCCATATCAGATAAATTATTACTATCTAATATTTTATTATTCAATATACCATCTTCTAATATTTTATCTTCCATTATCTCATCTAATATCTCATCATCATTTACTATTTCATCATCTACTACTTTACTTATATTTTGTTTTTGAAAAGAAGATTCATTTGATTCTTTGAATCTTTAACAAATAAAAGTAGTACCGCAAGTATAGTATATAGTATCCAGATATGCTATTAATATAATTTTTTCATTATTTGTAATCTTTTTAGAAGCATATAAACATCTTAATTTGTTATACTCCATACAAGTTACAGTTATGTCTACATTTTTTGCTTTTTGTGCACTTCCAGTTCATGGCATTTGCTTATCTCATTTTTGTTTTTCTTTTTATTTTTATCTAATTTTGCTTTACATAACTGTATAAATGGACAATATGATTCATCTGTATTCATACTATAAACATCATCAAAGTTTTTGTAATGATCACTATTTGCCAGAACTAGATCAGGTAAATAATTTAATGAATCAAATATATGTTGTGAACTTCTAATTGGCAAATATAAACTACAATTAATATCACCACACTTTTTTATTGAAAAAAAATAAGAATGAGAATGATAATAGTGATCAAAAAAATTCTCTAATAGGCTTAAAAAAATAAAATAATAAGTTTAATTAAATAATAATTACAATTAGTATTACTTACTACAAATATCAATTTTAATTTTTTTATAATACAATTAAAGTTGCGATAGTATAAATAAATTAAAAAATTAAAAGTTGTAATTTGTAGCAAGCGACTTTAATTACAATATATATAATAACTTACTTTATTTTTTATATCTATCCAACTTTTATCTTCTTTAGTTAATGTAGAATCTATTGAAAGAATTGTATTTTACAACATATTCATATCTAATTCTGTTGCAGCTTCAAATATTTAAAAATTTTTATCTTTTAATTGTAAGTGCTGAAATATATTATTTAATAAAGCAATTGTAGGATTTAAGCTTTCTTTAAGATTTTCTTTTAAACTAGCAGTCTTTTCTGCTACTTTTCTAATATCATTTATGCTATTATATTGTAATATTATTTTCTTAGACTTAATATCCATTTCCTGATGTATAAGATCAACACATTGTAATCCTAAATTTAAAATAGATATTATTCTTTCTACTGAGTTTTTCTATAAATAACCAGGTGGTGTATGAACTGCTACTAAATAATCTAAATCTAATTCAAGAAATAAACTAATAAGTACAATTTGTGTTTTAATATATTTTACTTGATGGTCTGGTCTGCCATCAGTATATAAAAACAAATAAGGTTTATTTGTTTCTTTGACTACTATATTGTAAAGTTCTGAAGCATGTCTAGCTGCACTTGATGGTTCAAATATAGGATCTTTTAAGCTTACATGAACATTACTACAATAAAATGATTCATTTATTGATTCTGGTATTTTAATATGTATTATAATACTTGGAATAAGACCATATTTAGTAAAATCATGATTTGCAACAGCAAATATCATTCCTTTAGCTACAATTACTAATTTTCTATGTTCTATAGCAGCTACTGGATGATTTGGCTCACCAACTTTACAGCAATGTTTATTATCTAAAAAAAATAAATTTGAATATTCTCTATATTTAACTGTTATTTCTTTTTCATATCAGAATAATGCTGATGCATAGTAAAAGTCTGGATGATCTATATGTAATTGACATGCTTGAACCATATATTTAATATCTAATTTTCTAGTATAATACTCAGATACCTTTACAATCTCATTATTAGAACTAAATTGCATACGTAACTATTGCTTTGATAGAATTAAAGTATTAGGAGAACAAATTTTTTTAACTTGATCTATTAAATCTTGTACTGATATAGTATATGATAAATATATAACTGTTTTATATCATCTGTCATCAACTGCAATATGCTCTTCAAGATACTTTTTAACATAATTTCAAAATTTAGTATATTGTTTGGGTCTACCTTTATTTTGGCTACATAAATCAACTATTATTTTATTATCTTCATTAATTAAAAGTTGTTTTGTATA